TCTATAATCATTCATGCAATAGTACGTGTTGGTTCATCTCAGTTTCAGACTCTGACACTAATACTATTCAAACAGCTTATTTCTTAATGATGCACATGTCTGTGGAAACGCCACCAACTCATATTTTAGTAGGGAATCTTTGCTTGTCAGTCAAACATTTCTGCGCATGATTACCCACCTGGTGTGTCAAACTCCGGCATCACTCGAATACCACGAAGTCGAGCATATTCCAAAATATCCTGCACCTCGGCCGGTTGGTAGACATAGTGTTTCGAGTTATAAGAACCCTGAAAAACACAGTACGTTAGTAGACTAATTGAAAAACAGACTCCTACTCACATTTTGCGACAGCCCGGGGAATTTGAGAGACACATACGGGAAGGACTGATCATCCACAATGTGCCAATGCAACACATTCATTTTGACCATACTCATCGCGTCCTGTCAGGAATTAGAGTTCATAAACCCGATTCTGGGGGCACTTACAATGAATCGCAATATGTATGACACTGGCAAGAAGTGACGAGACGTATCAATCAGATAACCTCGATGTGGGAATCGTGGTTTGTCGTTCACTTGCACAGCCTGGATCACAATCTAAATGGAAGAACGGAAGGACAATTAGCTATGTTGGAAGAATCGCGTCAACACAAATCCCACCTTGCCAGCTGGATGCCCATAGGCCAGTTGGGTCAAGGTTTCCAGGCCATGGATTGCACCCCAAATCTCATCAGCCGAGATGTTCATCTCCAACGGACGTACTGACAGATTATCTGTTCCAAATGCACAAAAGCGATATCACTATCGGGAGTAGAATGCGCTACTTACAGCTCTCTTTCATCTCCATCGATGGCCACAGTAAACCGTGACTTTCGTCACATCCGTTCGCGATCTCTATCCGTAGTTGACTCACAACACCTTCCACCGGTCCTGCATCTTTCCGGGGCATTGCACGAGTACGAAGATTGTGCTCGAATCGTTTAATGGCTTTATTCAGTAATCCACATTCCGGGTAGTCATGGTGAATTCCCAAGCCGGGTCCGATCTCAACTGCCATATTGTCGTTCACAATGTTGTACGGCTTCGGCACGAGTGCCTGAGCCGTGCTAAGGAGAACAATTGATGTGACTATGAGGAGCATGTTGTTGTTGTTCCAGTTGACCTGGTATTCAGTTTTTGTGATCTTCTATGTATACTCAAACAAGATATTTGTATACAAGCACAATTCTCGCTATCACTGCTCCTCCTCACTCTCGTACACACACAAACACACACAATAATTCTATTCTTTTGTCCCCGCAGTAAATGCCACTAGAGAGCAGATTCCATAGCATAGAGTGAAAAACTGCGTAAACTTTGCTCAGTCTATTCATTCTGCATGTGATGTTTTGGGTTGGACTATTCGGACCAGAGCAAGGTGTGTCTGATGACGTAGACAGTTCATTAGCGCTCTTCCTACATGTATTCGTAACAATAAGTCTTTAGATTTTGTCCTCGGTCTGATTTCATTCTTTGATGAACTCAAATTAATTTATCAGATTGTTCCATTTGTACAAATATCGGTGATCCCAATAAGTCGGTGTCATCCACAATTGGCTCACGTTCAACGGAACATAAAGGTTATCAGTGTTATTTTCTAGATAAAGCCGTGCTGCACCACTTGATCTACAGTCTAACCAATATAACTTGTTAAGTTGAGTGAGCAACCAAATGGGATCCGTTCAGAGCGACCACTCAGGTCGAGAACTGTTGCTTTTGTTTTTGACCTTCGAACGGATAGTAGAAGTCAGTTTAGTGACTTGAAGAGGAAGAACAGCAAGGATAGGGGTAAATAGCATGATAGAGAACGAAACATTTAATCTGCAACAGTTAGTTAGTAGTTTCATTAAAGTCTTTTCAACAGTAATCATCCTCTTTGTGTTTTCTGTAGCTACAATAGTAAATCCATTAATCCACTTTCAGATTTTGTGAAACTCCGCCAATCGCCTCTTTGTGTGCGCCAATAAACTACTCACAAATATCAGTAGTAACTCTCAACACTACCACTCTGGGAGGAAATAGCTTTGGTTGAAGTGTCTGATACTATATGACTGGGGGAATGTTCTTTTCGCCAAATCAATACATCATTCGCAGTTAATAACATAAAAACGAACCTCATATCCTAGACGGCGTATAAAGAAAATACGAAGTTCATGCTCTTCATACTCCGGGTACTCAGAACCTAATCTGGGGAGACCGTCTTTTGTACACGTAACTGGTATCCAGAACGACCTGAAAAAAGATACAAGTAAAATTATAAGAGCAATGTTTTGATTTTTAAATGATCTGGTCACTTCAAAGAGGGGTCACCATCAAATAATCCACATGCAGCTACGAAGTCGGAAACCCACAGTTAAACGTTAAACGTTTGATCGTAAAGAAGCGTTTTCTGAGATGCAAATGAAAGGTGACCAGGTAAAAGCAGGACAACTAACCCTGATCATGCAGAGGCTTTCTAGGGTGAATAAATATTCACGTAGTATTTTGATAGATTGCCATGGCAGTGTTTCTTTCGACAAAGCGAAAATTTGAACAACTGATCATTCGTCTCAATCAGCCTCATCATTGATCGGGGGCCGCTTGGTCCCAACCAATGCAACGTTGTATCATCGGTAAGTGTTGAGCAATCGTTGAAGTTGTAGTTTTTTTTAATTTTTCCGATTTTGACTTCCGGGCTCATTTTTTGAAATCTTACACTTGTCTGAATCTGGGCAGCGATCAGTGAAGTTCACTTCACTGTATTTCGCTGTACGATGATGATGATGATGATCTGGTCAAAGTTCTCCACACTTACTTTTGTTTCTGTATTTGTCTGATTTGCTGTAGCAGCTAAATTGTTTGAAGTGAAAATTGCATAATGTTATGTTATTTTAGTTGCCTCTCTTCTCAAATTTATCTCGGAAACCAGTGTTTCAGAATGATAGTGAGTTATCATTTGTCACAGGAGTTAACAATAATAATAATATCATACCATATTGAACCATACATCAACAGAAGTGTTTTGGTGGGTGGCGGTATTGCTTTTAGTATAACAGCCGATCAGAAGGAGGTTGCATTTAACTAAAAATAAAGGGCATTCCTTCGAAAGTGATTTCAGTTACGGCAATCCTGGAAACAATCAATATGAGACAACTTATTTCCGATTCCAATCAACAAACAAACCATAGCTCATACTGCTGTAACAAATGGCTTCAAATGGTCATTGAAATGAATTTTAAAACAAACATAAAATCAGCCTGCGTCTTTTAGTGAATTGTGGCACCTAGAAATATGAGTAATGTCAAACAAAGTACAATAATCGAAATTTCGGTGCTATAGCTAGTCATTCATCGGCGTTGAACCACGTCTTTTCTGAAACGTGTCACTACATCCCACCTGGTTCTAACTGCAGACAGTCACTCTGTATGTCAACAGAAGGAACTTGATNACAGAGTCTGTGATTGGTGTGAAACGCAAAGCCAGCACCCCAAACATGGGTATTTTGTGGCGTTTTTGAACGAAACTCAGTTCTCGTTACGTGGAATGCACCTCTTACCAAAAATAAAGAAATTTTGGCAACAATGAGATAGTTGCTCCATAATACGTAGGAGGATCAGAATATTGGGTTTGATGTGTTGTGAAGTGTTGTTTGAATTGATCGTTTGTTTTACTGCATCCATTTAGTTTTTACGATTGGTCCGTATAAGACTTTAATTTTGCAAACCGGATAATCTGATTGATTCAAGCTTATATATAAACGCCTGTGATTCCCTTCCCAAATATGATTTGTGTCCGGTGAACATTAAAAGTACATCGAGAGCACTTCCTGAAGAACCGACTTTTCACAGCTCACGTTATCAGGAAAGAAAATTGCAGGCACCCAGTGTGCACATAAAAGCTCCTGAAGCGAACGTTTTGAATCAGCTCCCGATGTTCATCTGATTTAATTTTGAGTTTTTGCATTCTGTGTATGGATGACCGAATCGGAAATCTATCCAACAACTCAGTTTGTTTGTTTCGTGTTTTCTTCTGGACGCTTGACATTGCGCATCTGTAACTGAGATGCGATAAAGTGCAAACTAAGGGGGCGGGAACAGTAATTCTGAAAGATCCGTCTGTTTGTGAATTTTTTTATGCGTCTATCATGGATTCATTATTTGTCTATGGACATCATCAATTTTTCAAAACACTGTATTCTTAGCTTCTCAAATATATAACAGTAGTTTCTGAAACTTAATTATATGGAACCGCTGCTTGAAAACGACTATGAGCTCAAATTTACCTTTGTTTAATTTGGAACCTGTACAGGAATTTGCAAGTTAAACTTGTTTTAGTGAGAAACTCTCGGTTGGATAGCATTTAAGCAAATGTACCTCTGCTCTTCCGGTCAGACTCGAGTTGACGTGATGAGTAAAATAGTGGCAACTCACCTGACCGTCGTTCGAGGGATCCGGCTTTCAAATCCAAAGTAGATTGATGAATATGCCTCAACGACAAGTTTTCATGTAAACGAGACTTTATTCTTGTGCTTTCTAGATGAACAGAGGCTTGTATATTTACGTTCGATGGAACACAGTTGTTCTTCTGTTCTGTACACTGAAAACATCCACTCTGTTAGTCTGTTTTTCCTACGGTATTTCGATTTCTTGTGTCATTACTTGCGCGGTGAACAAATATCACCTACAAAACACACAGTATCCTTTGTAAAACGGTTATTCTCACCTTCCCCCCCCCCTCCCACACATATACACGCACTCCGGGAGAGACAGTTGTCCCGGTCCATGCTCATTTTACCACTGAAACTCCCAATTAGTAAAAACCTCCTTGGAGAGACCACGACAATCAGGTCAGATCAGATCCACCTGTACAGAAACGAAAATACCATCTACAGTGTTCTCCGTATGGTATTTTAGTTCTTGCTGATAGATTTAAGTACTCATTCATTCATTACTTCTAGTCTTTGCTTATGTTTTTTAGCTTTGGTATCAAATCGTTTACTGATTCGCACAAAAGCAACTCCCAACAGTCAGGCTGTAAATTCATTCAGTCTGAAAGGGTGTTTTAGCAATGGCTGAATGACTGACGTTAGGAAACAATCCACACAAAGCTCGGCGCACAGACCATGGAGCAGAACAAGTCTCAGTGGAAAACTGAATCATTGCTACTGCACGTACTCGCGTATGAGCATAATCGAGGAGTTGGAGCAGCATTGTGCGAGGGGATTACCGATGCAGCCAATATAGCGTTACTCACAGCTTGGCAGTGACTGACCTGAATAACACTTTGTACACTGGTGAGATTGAGCCGTTCTTGTGTTATGTATGTCCGCTCATATTGCAAACTTATGCCGGGTATGCGTTTCGGTACCTACCGTCACTTAGCCCGTTCATCAACCCAATGGAAGAGGCTTCTTTTAAGATGATAATTAAGAATCGCTTAGCGGAATTTCGAGAGGACATGTTGTAAGTGCATGAAGGGATCATAATAAAAATCCATCTAAATCCGCTTCTGATTAATGCTTCCCAACCGGATTTCCGAAATAATGCCCGATTCGAATGTGCTTCTAATGAAATCGATATTGCCCAACGCTCACACAAAGTCCTCACTCCGGACCATAATTAAAACAATGCACTTCGGTAATAAAACGTTTGAAAGAAGTTAAAATATACTTCAAGTTGTGTTTTAACAATACAGATGAACGTGTCACGTTATTGATCATACAGAAAGAATATCCCAGTGCGGTTGAATCAGTGGGCTGAGATTAGCCTTATCAGAGGACAAAACACAAAACCAGCTCAGCTTCAGCATAAATTTCTGGACTATAAGTGCTCCAATGACTTTTGTCTTCCGTGCGTGCGTTGCTTTTTGCGTACTCGGTTGTTTAGGATTCCGACTGACATCTCCAGTCGCGGTTTCTGTAAGTGTACAACTGACATTTGACGTCTTGGATAGTAAGACCGCTACAGCGATCTTGGTGAACCTAAAGGTTCACCAATCGCAACTCGCACAACACGCTATTTCAACTCGTTAGAATCCATGAATCCCGTTGAGAGGATGAATGTTTTGATAGAGTGCCGGTTATTATTGGGTACCTTGACGAGAGAGCGTTGTGTTCGGTCTAGA